CCAACTAAAATGTTTTATTCACTTTAATGAAATGAGGTGTTTTTGGAGCGAGTCTTTTTCAATATAGGCATAGTAATAGGATTAATTTTAAACTTAGCTGTGCATGTCTGTTTTTCATGGGAATAATTCTGATTTATTTTTAAATGTTGTTGCACCATTTCCTTGTCTAGGTCTCATTTCCATCATTAACCTGTCTGTAGCACAGAATGAACTGACTGTTTTGTTTCTCCTCTGTTCTCGTAGGCACTCGATAGTCAGTTGGCTCAGTGTGGAACCGTTGAAAGCTGTGAACAAGGTACTAATCGGCAATAATTTAACCATTGATAAACAGAACAATTATTGTCAACAAAAGTCGACTTAAAACGGCTGATTTTTCTTTTTTGTAGCATTGCAAATTTTAAGCAAGTCTGCCCCCATGTGGCACAAATACGCTATAGCACAAAGTTGATTTACAAAGTTACGGATTTTAGTTGATGTATTTCATATTAAATGTTATGAGTTCAAAATAGAAAACACACAGAAAAACTTTATTTTATAAACTGACACTACAGTTGATGCTTCCAAACTATGACAAATTCATTTGTAAATATCCTCATTATTAAATAGATTTCTGGTCACTTCCTCTCTGTGTTTCATTAATTTCTTGCCTTCTGTCTTTCAGTGAACACGGAAAGTGAGACTGCAGTGGTTAACGTCACTTATGCTTCCAAGGAACACGCCCGGCAGTAAGTGTCCCTGTCCATATCTTTGTCTTTTGTCCTCACTGAAGAGCTTTGTCCAATATTTTAACCTCGTTTGTTTCAAATGTTTCTCTTTCTTCATCTTCTTCTGTTTTTGTTTCGTCAAAAAAACATCTTTGTATTTGTGTTTCTCTCCTCAGAGCCATCCAGAAACTGAATGGATATTTGATTGACAACACTGCCCTGCACGTCTCCTACATCCCAGACGAAAGCTGTGACCTGGAGGGGGGTCAGCGGGGGCATGATAACGGCCGGCGCTCTGGTTATGGGCCCCGCAGTCCCCGTGGTGGCCACCCCAGCTCTGGGATGCCCCCAAAACACACAAACACTGACATCCCCCTGAGAGTGCTGGTGCCAACACAGTATGTGGGGGCTATAATCGGCAAGGAGGGGGCCACCATTCGCAACATCACAAAACAGACTCAGAGCAAGTGAGTGAAGTTGATACAGTGATGTAGAATATCCATTCATCGGTGTCATGAAAGGACTTTTTTTATTTTCTTACACCTCTAGTGTATGTACGCTCTACAGGAGCTTGGTTTTAGAAACTTACCTTCATTCCCCCCCACCCCTTATTTCATGTTACTTTAGGATTGACGTGCACCGCAAAGAGAACGCCGGTGCTGCTGAGAAATCCATCAGCATCCACTCCACACCCGAGGGCTGCTCCGCCGCCTGCCGTATGATCCTGGAGGTCATGCAGCAGGAGGCCAAAGACACCAAGACGTAGGTTTGAAACGAGAGAAACTGAGAAGTTTTGACGTTGGTGGGTTTTTGTTGGTGTTTGTCGTCACTGAAAAGATGTTCTGGTTCTGTCGTTGTAGAGCCGATGAGGTTCTGCTGAAGATCCTGGCTCACAACAACTTTGTGGGACGCCTGATCGGGAAGGAGGGACGCAACCTGAAAAAAATTGAGCAGGACACAAACACCAAGATCACCATCTCTTCGTAAGAACGCCACACACACACACCTCGCCCCCACCCACCTCCCACACACACACAGCGTTAACTGGACTGATTTTCTCCATGGTAACTGTGATCTCCTGTGCAGTCTGTGTGACATGACCGTCTACAACCAAGAGAGAACCATCATAGTGAAGGCTTCCCTGGAAGACTCCTGCCACGCTGAGATAGAGATCATGAAGAAAGTCCGAGAGGCCTACGACAACGACCTCGCTGCCATGGACGTAGGTCTACAGCCTCACCTGATCACTGTTGTCACACAGTTGGCTACAAAAATAAGAACATGCTCCGAAAAATAAACTGTGACAAGAATGGGTAAAGTAATCTGACCTTTGCTCTGTTTTGACTAACCTCCAGTTTCCTTCACAGCAACAGACTCACCTAATTCCTGGAATAAACCTGCGGGCTCTGGGTCTCTTCCCCTCGTCCTGCAACATGCCTCCACTTCCACCTGGAAATTCAGTGCCTGGCTCCCCCTATGGCCACTATGGGGTAAAAATATTTTATGCTTGAATTAGTGTTGGTGTGTTTTTTTTTGTTTGTTTTATTTTTCACTGCACCTTTTTTATATTTTTTTAATCAGTATTGTTGTCTGGTCACTGTTTTTTTTCTTACCTTTTTTGTCTGCAATAGAGTAATAGAGTAATTTGATTTTCATACAAAACATTTTTAATGTAACTTTAAACATGAGCTTGGACCTTGAACTCAGCTGTAGACAGAGACAGATACAATTATTTACAGAGTTAAAGCTAAACCTAATCACACAGCGTGATGAAGCTGTTCTGGTGGGGGTTTTTTTCAGGGACTATTTTCTATGTGGTCTACATTTAAATCCCTTTTCTGTGTGTCCCCAGGCTCCAGAGCAGGAGACAGTCTACATCTACATCCCAGCACAGGCGGTGGGGGCCATCATCGGAAAAAAGGGGCAACACATCAAAGAGCTGAGTCGCTTCGCCGGAGCCTCCATCAAGGTCTGGGCTCATTGACAAGTTGAAGAGAAATAAATGAAAAAAAAAACAAAACGAAACCCAATAATTCCTGTTTTGATTCCTTCATCCTCTCATCTCCTCCGTCTCGTCTCCATTTTCAGATCGCTCCAGCAGAAGCTCCAGACTCTAAACAGAGGATGGTGATTGTGACTGGCCACCCTGAGGCTCAGTTTAAGGTAAAAAAAAAACCCCAAAAACCTAAATCTAGCAGTCACCGACTGACCTCCTCCTCATCTGAATAAATTAAACATGTGACTGTTGCACAGGCTCAGGGCAGAATCTACGTAAAGCTGAAGGAAGAGAACTTCTTTGGACCCAAGGAGGAGGTGAAACTGGAGACTCACATCAAGATTCCTGCCTCTGCCGTAGGACGGGTCATCGGAAAAGGAGGAAAGACTGTAAGTGGATTTGGTAGTTTTAACATTCACACTTACATCCATTATTAACGGGATCAATTACTGAGTTCTGTGTATGTGTGTGTTTACAGGTGACCGATCTGCAGAACATGACAGCAGCTGATGTTGTCGTCCCCAGAGAACAGACACCTGATGAAAACGACCAAGTCATCGTCAAGATCATCGGACATTTCTACGCCAGCCAGGTTCTCACTGCACTTTGTTGTTTGTACCAGGACTGTTGTAGCTGACGTTAGCTCTGGTGTCAGAACCAGGACTGTTGTAGCTAACGTTAGCTCTGGTGTCAGAACCAGGACTTTCTGTGTGCCAGATAAAGGCATTTAAATGCTATATTTTGCTACAGTTATGATGTCATGAAGAGTTCCAGTTCTTGATGATGATGATTTCCGGGTTTTTTTTCTAAGTGTCATTTATATCCTCTTCTCTGTTTTCCAGTCGGCTCAGAGGAGGCTCAGAGAGATCTTCAACCTGGTGAAGACCCAACAAAAAGGTGGGATGGTCGTGGGCCACGGCCCCAGTCCCCAGGGCATGTCAGAGATGGGCAGTCCTAAGCAGGACATGACTCAGGATCACCAGCCTCGCAGGAAGTGAGGGGCACGACCCCCCACATCCTCCTCAATGCCACAAGGCACCCCCTTGCCTGACTGACTGACAAAAATATGGACGGACGGATACAGGAGAGCGACACATGGACCCAGCAATAGATAGGGAGAAATCTAAGGAGGGAGGGAGAGTGTGAAAGAGAGGGAGAAAAACGCTTAGATGGGAGAGATGAAAAAACAAATCAAGAGATGAAATGAATAATAATGGATTAAGATTAAAAGACACTTGAGAACAGAGACCAGATGCCAGGCCACGAGAGACGCTGATTGAGGATGGATGGATGAAGGAAAGGAGGGATGAAGAGAGGGACAAAGGTGGGGTCCTCCTAGTGTGTCCCGGTGGAGCTGCAGCGAGCTCCTCCCCCTGTCGATCTTTTTTTTTAAAAAACAGATCCCGTGTCATCATGTAAGAAGATGATTTTTCTATTGAAGCCGAGCTGCTGCCGTTTCCGCCTGACTGCGTTGTTTGACATCAGGTGCAGAGCTGAGGGTTTATCTTTGGACACACTTAGCAGAGGCCCGTTTGACCCTCTGTCTCCCTCTACAGACCTGTCCAACCATCTGCAGTCAATCGTATATTATAAGGGTGTTTTTTTAAAAAGAAAAAAAACAGAGTTATATGTATAGAAATGTTTTATTCAGAGCTATTATTGAGAATATGCAGTGAGGCGGAGCCGGGAGAGGGAGCGGGGAAACTGCTGCGCCGGCACGGGGGGCGGGGGCTGTCTGTGGTACTTGTGGTGCTAGCACTACCAACCCCTACAACCCCCCTCCCCAAAGCCACAGAAAGTCTGGAAGAGGGGCCGCAGATGTTAACACTGCTCTTAAAGACCTTTCACAAAAGAAGAATAAAAGAGAAAAAAAAAAGTAAGAAAATGTAAGGTTGTAAATATATAATCTTCATCTAAATGTTGAAAAATGCTGCGTTTGGCCGTCTTGCCTTTTATTTAGGGGGGGTCTTCTGTGAAATTCCTTGTCTTTCGGGACTGAGGAAATGCTAGAACCCCCCCGATCCACAGTTGTGTGGCGGAAGACGCAGCAAGAGACAGTAAGGGGCGCAGTGGTCGCAGCTGGTACTGCAGTTCTATTGCAGTGGCTCAGCTTGCACGCGTTAAAGCGTCACAGAACCGTTTTATGGAAAATAGCCAGCAGCTATGCTTGCTGGTTAGCAGCCTGCCCCCTTTAATGGCATATTTTATATATATTATATATATATGATATGTGAGTTAGCCCGGCCCCTCTGGTGATTGTAGGGAAGGCAGGGAGTCGGGGGTGAGGTTTCACCTCAACTGTGTGATCAAAGTCCTGCAGCGACAGACTTCTGCTCGCTGCTGCCTCGCCTTCTACAGCTCGGTACCCAACGAAGGTCAAACAACCTGGGGTCCTCGCAGCCGTCCCGCGATTGAAGTTAGCTTTGTTAGCTGTGCCGTCACGCAGCAGAAAACCAAAAAGAGGCGAAGTCTTCCAAACTCCCTGCCTTGGTCTCAGAGAAGGTAAAATCTGATAGAAGGGGAGCGGCTTCCTCGTTCCCTCTCCCGCTCTGCCGAAGGCCTGTGGGCGGAGCCTCCAGACCCTGCCTGCATATGATAATGAGGGGTGGGGTTTTTATCTGGACGCTCTTGCCAAGATTAGAACAGATTAGCGAAGAAACGAAAAAGAAAAAAAACCTACCTCAGGGTAAATTTACCTCAGTATTCCTAACTTTTTTTTTGCTTGCTGGTGTTTTATATAAGAAGAAAAAAGAAAAGAAGAGCTGATAGTCCTGAATATTTTTATTTTTTTAAGGAAAAAATATTTTTTTTTAGGTATTGTCTTGTTGCTTTGGTTATTTTTTTCTGTTTTTTTTTTTTTTGGTTATGGATGTGATGATGATTGGATGGTCTCAGGATGACAAGGAGGCAGAGTTTTCCTTTTGAAAACTCCAGGGTCGAGCAGCGACGGGGACTGGGTTCAGTGCCATTTGACCTTTACGGTTAGAAAACGTGGCTCTCTGTCGTCCTGAGCTGTGATCGGAGTCGCCTTTGTTTGAGACTGAACCATAGCCAACAGGGAGTGGCACTAACTTCAGCTGAGGTGAAAAGAGTAGGTGGGGTCTAAATGTGCACCCCTGGTGGTGGGGGGTGGAAGTGGGGGTGGTCATTTTTTTTCTTTTCATTATTGTAATGACACGTCCACACAACCCCACCCTGAGGTCACATTAGGGACTGCACCACTCTCTTCTCCAGATGCTGCGATGGCCCCCTTCTTTCCCTCTTCTCCTGCCTTACTGTGATGACATCATCATGAACCGCCAAACACTTTTACAAGGCTTTAAAGGGGCAGTCACACCAGCTGTACGTGCCCTTGGTGACCACTGACGTCCTGCTCTGTAGCTGCATCGCAATTCACCGGCCAACGCTGTCCAAGGTGCTGGACATCTTTCGGCCGATGTTGTGTGTTTGCAGTTGGAGCTGAGTCCCAGTTCAACCAACAGTGGTGTTAATTAGACTCGTCTCCACCAAATAGTGCCAGGAACTCACAGTATCAGGAACCATTTTGAAGGAAGTAAAGTGGCTGTCTGTGTTTCTTCCCTGGAGAAAATCCTGTGAAGATTATGCAAATCAGAAACCATCGTTGGGTTCTCTGGAGATCCCAAAAAAAAACAAACAAAAGTGCCTGAATTTCTGTACTTATGTGTGGGTAAAAAAAATCTCTGTTTGGAGCTGAGTTTATTTTCCATAGACCAAGATCAAATAAGTCACTTCTCTTTCTCCGCCGTCGTTAAAAATGGCCAGGAGAAGAGTTCACTTCTGGGGTCCAGCAGTGGAAACCCCCGCCCCCGTAGACCCCGGTACTTTCACTAGTTCACGGTACTAATTCTTAAGGCGGAAGCAATCTGATGCCGAGGAGGTGCATGTGTGAACGCTCCCATAATTAGACACACACACACACACACACACACACATACACACACACATATATACATATATATATAAACTAGCTCTGACTTCTTTGAATGTGAATAACTCTTACCTGTGCACTGACCGTGACACCTCAGAGGCTCCCTGTTGGCTACAAGTGTGTGTGAATGTGTGTGTGTGATTGTGTTTTTGTTTTTTAATGTTTAATTTCTTTTTGTCAGAGGATGTTGTTGTTGGTTGAAACTTATAAAATGTAAAGAAGAAAAAAAAAAAGCAGAAAAAAGTGGGACAAGAACCTATGGTCCATCCATCTGGGTTTTCCAACAGAGCATGGATGGAGAATTCCAAAAAAAAACAACCTTTTTCTTGAAAATGGGAGCAAAACCAGAAAGGCAAGAGAGTTTGGATACAACAGTGACTCAGCTCGATGATAGATTTAAACCTGTACATACTAAGGTGAACACCGTAGTTTTTGTATTTTTGGAGAAAAACAGCTTAAAAAATCTGAATGGGAAAAGCCGTTGAGAGAGAGAGAGAAAAGGTCAAACCACGGACAAGTCACTGATGGACAAAAGTCCAAGTCTTTCTCTTGTCCGTTCTTCACGCCTTCATCGGTTCCATCGGTTCCACCATCACACAGGTCAGAGTCTGTTCTACTGTGTCTCTGCTGGGGCGGTCACTGTCCACTGGGAGTTAGCGCAGGCTAAAGAACGGTTAGCTTGTGTCTAAATTGAGTCCGACTGTTTACGTGTCAGGACTTGTTGAACACGCCTCACATATTGGGAACCACTGAGTCACAAAGTCTTTCTACGCTCTGACATGGTGTCAGTGAGGAGGCCGGCCGGTGTTCACGTCTTTGAGATGATTATCAATCTGTTTCCAGTGGATTTTCGACCGCCTCAGTCTCTGCTTCCATTTTTTTGTGCCGAGGTGAAAAGGTCGGGTTTTCCACCTTTTTCCAAACCATAGAGATCTGTTCACAACAGCAAGACAGTTAGGGATGAATATTTCAGCCTGCAGCCGTTTGGTTAAGATTCATTTTTTTATGACAATACTGCAAGCTTTATTTGGACATGACACCTGGGGGCGCTCTGTTGCACTGATTTGAAGAAATGTGTCAACAAACGTCAACAACTACACGGAAATAACTGAACACCCTCACCCGCTCTGACGCCCCCTCCCTGTGCAGTTTTTTTTTTCTAAATGAGAGGGAGGGCGACGGACGACGGTGGGAGGGTGAAGTAGGATGGGTGAAGGCGAATGAGGAGGAACGGGAGGAGAGGGCGGAGTCTAACAATGTAACTTTAATTTTCCGAACCTCCCGTTCCGGCTACACCTCGGCCCCACCGTCTGTACGATCAACGTCTTCTCTGCTTTACTGAGGAGGAGAGCCAGAGGTGTTTGTTTTTACTTTGATTTTTTTTTTTTTTTGTAACAAATGTCATTTCATTTTGAGAGTGGGTGGGAACGTCAGGGTCCCTCGCCCTCTCTTGCGCTGGTCACGTGTTCGTTTTACTCACATCTGTTCAGAAACCTGTTGATTTCTTACCTTTTTCCCTCCTTTTGCTCCTCACTATCTTTCTGACTCTGGGTCGTCCCACCTCGGCGCTCCTTAAGGGTCTTTTGTTTTTTTTTTTCTAATGAAATGATTATAGTTGACACTTTTTTCAATGCACAAATCTATTAACATTTTGTCATTACAGACGGCAGACTGCAGAGGGCGTAGTTCAGTACAATGACAGTAACTGTGCCAAACAGACAGCACAGACAGCACAGACAGTACAGACAGGTGTACTTCCTGTGATACCACCCTTCACCGTAGTGTTGTGTTCTTCACATCTGAACTCGGCTCTTTCTATATTTTTGTGTCTGTACCTACACAGACTGTAGGTCGGTGGTTCTGGGCCCTGAAAGAAAACGCTGTCTGTCAGTTTTTGAGTTTTGAGACACAGTTATTAACATTTCACTAACGCTCAAAACACCATGAAAAATGATTATATCCTCGTGATCTCTGTCTAAAACATATCATGTTTTTTTTTCCCCTAAACTCTCAGATTAACCTGGGTTTGTGTCGAAGTTTCCACGAGTTCCATTTATTTCACCACAGTTTGTTGAAGGGGGGCGGGGCTAGTGGTCACATGATGTTTTTTTATTTATTTTTGAACCAGTCGTCTGCTGTTTTTTGACCAGATATTCTGTTGTTTTGACGACTCGACCTTTGACACCGACATCAATGAGGTCTTTGAAAATTTGATCACTGACGTTACAGATCATGTGAATGGGAGATCCTTTTTTTTTTTTGATTATTCGCTTAATATAAATTTAAACAAAAATGTTTTTTTTTCTTCTGTTAACCCTGAACCTGAGTCTGTGGTTGAAATAAGTGGAACTTCGGTGTAGAAGCTCATGAGTCTTTAGCAATACAGCGTTTATACCACACCGTGTTAAATGTTTATACACCATGAATCGTTAAAAAAAAACAGACAAAAAAAACAAAAACTCACAGATATTGTCGTTTTCTATTTAAACTTTTACAGGCCGTTTCTTCAGCCTGGAGTTCTCACAGACAGACAGACAGTTTGCAGCTACAGTGTGAACTCCTGCTCTGGTCTGAGAAGTCTCCACTGATGTAAAATCCTGCGGAGATCCAGCAGAGGGAGACATCGTACCGATAAGACAACGAAAACAAATCTATTGTCACATAACTAGGAACGCTACCTCAGAACACAAGCAAACTCAGCTAGAGGATTGTTTTTAATTTTTTTTTTTTTACCTAACAGCCAGACCGCAGTACAGACGTCGAACAGACGCTCGCTCTCTGTTACAGTCAGAGTTCTTTTCAGTTTTCACTCTTTAATTTATTTTCCATATATGAAATTGTTGCACCTCCGCAGCTTAGAGACGGGACTGTAAAATAAAACGACTTGATTCAAAAGAAATTATGACAAAAAAAAAAAGGATGGAAAAATATCCCGCAGTGGTGCAGGGTGACGAGGGGCAACTGGGACGAGGACTTTCTTTTCACGTGGGTAGGGATTGAAGACGCCTGATTGGGTCAGGTGTGGTCCAATCAGGACGAGCTGTTGTTATTTCCTGTCACAAAAACTGTGCCGTTAAACGTAAACTTCACCTTATATTACATTTGTTAAAACAAATAGGCCACAGTTTAATTTTTCTTTTTTTTTGATTCGCTAAGATTAACCACGACCCTCTCCAGCTCTGTCCGCTCCCTGTGATTTCACCTTCTTAGTCGAGGGGCACGACACCTGTAACCATGTAATTGTTTTGTTGATCTACCTCTTAGAAAAAAAAAATAGGTAAATGGTAAAAACATTTTTTTGAAAAAGGACAAAAATTATATTAAAAAAATACATTTGCTTGAAAGAAGTATAGATAAATGAATAACTGGGTAGCGGCATCTCCATATACTGTAGTGGATAGTCTATTAAAGAGAAATTCTTTTACTTCTTCCAAAGATGATTTTGTTTTCTTTTCATTTCTTTTCTCCTTTTTAATCTGAACGCATTTTGAAATAATTGAATATTAAAGTCACACTTGGTGACGACAAAGGTCGTCATCTGTTATATAATTTTTTTTTCTTTGAAAAACATTAAATCGACTTTTTTTTTTACAATTTATTTACATTTTCTTTGATTTCATTAAACTTACACTTTTTTTGTTTAAGAGAAAATCTTACAAATACTCTTCATGTTTTTGTTTCTAATTTCTCTCTCTCTTCGTTTTGTCCTTTAATGACAGCAGATTGTATCCATCATGTTTGGGTGCATTTAGCATTTTCTTTCTGTGAAAAGCCTACAGTTAGGACCTGCTACACTGATGATGATCTATTTTCACTTCTGATGAATTGTTTAAAATAGCATAAGGACCTGTTGTTTAACCAGAGGGGGGCGCTGTCACGGGAGGAGGGAGGCCGGAGTGTCGTCCGCCCCCCACCCCAGGCTGCACAGATTCGAACCCTTCACTCTCTGATTCGATCAAACCCTGCAACCCTGGCGGGTGGAGACGCTCTCTGTCCCAGATGCAATGTGAGAGGGACGAGGTCTCCTTCCTCCCAGCAGGTGGCGCCTTCACTCTTCACTGTATAATGACTTTCACCCCCCCTGTTCCCCTCGTCTGATTCCTTTAGTCATCATCAACACTTGTTTTAAACTCCTTGTAAACAAAACAGAGCATAGATATGAATGTGTTATTAAAAGATGAGAAAATGGACACTGTCTCCTGGATTACCTGCAGTCGACGTCATCATCACCTGACCGCCGCCATTTTAAACACAAGGATCGTCCTCTGAATAGAGACAAAGAATTAAAGCTCTTAAAATGGTTTATTAAGATATATTTAAATTCGTTTTGGTGCAAATTTGTTACTAGTTACTTTTAATATTTATAGAAACAACTCTTTACTGACTTTACAATCAGTAAATGTTGTTATTTGGTGTGTAATAACTTAGAAAACTGTCTTTATTTTGATTAATTGTTGATTTTTTTTTAAAAAAAATGTCGATTTTAAAATGACAAATCAGAAGATGATTGTAAAAAATAACCTGGAGATGAATCATCAATCCTGTGTAACTTTGTAACTGACCAGTAGATGGCAGAATTGACCTATATATATATATTTTAAGCCTTGCTTTAAAAAAAATCCTCCTAAATAATGAAATACTACAAATTACTAAGAAAGTGAACACAGAGATGATGGTTCAGAAATAGCAAAGCTATTATTTAATGTTGTGTTTGTTTTTTTCATTAGTTTATTCTAGAAGCATCAACACTCCTGTCAAGTCATGCTTCACTCGCCGCAGAAAAAAAAAGACTTTAATTTTAACAACATGTTATTGCACATTTAACCCCAGTGTAAAAACTTTAACCCGTATGATTTATGAAAAGTTAAGCTGCTAAACCTGCAGTACAAACTAAAACCTAATGATTGCCTCGTGGTCACAGAGTTTTTATGATCATTTTCACTGTACACTTTTATAACCCTGAGTTTCACTGCTGCAGTGACACTTTCCCCAGTGTTTCTTTTGTTGCGTAGAGAGACTTCCGGCCACTGTTTCCTCCTCCACTGCTGCCCAGGCTGCGAACAGCGACCTCAGGTGTCGGAGCTCGGCGATGCTACGTTCACTGACCAGGTCTGTCCAAAACACTACTGACAAATGTAGACACATTTTCATATATGATCTGTTTCTTCAGCATTGAAGACATTAGTGCACTTGACTGCCCCCTAGGGGCCTAGATTTGAAACAGCAACCCTTCAACCACACACTCAACCCTATGATCACTTTAAGTCATTTAAACAGTAAAGAAAAATCCCACGTCATATTCAAAGAAATTTGAAAAGACAATAATAATGATAATAATAATAATAAAACATGCATGAACTAAAGCTCGTTCTCTTATAATTGTCAACTTAAGATTGTTGATTCTGTTGCTTTAGCAGCTGAATCTAACAAGGCTTTTTTAAAGTCTATTGACTGAAAAAATAGACTAAATTTTTTTTTTTTAATGAATTCTCTTGAAAACAAAAATAAAAGTAAAGTTGAACAGGTTTCTGTGCAGGTTTGGTTAAAAATGTGACGTTTGCTCTAATTTTTAAAAACTTAAACAAAAATCTGATCCAATCAAAGGTCACAGGTCAACACTGGACAAAGAAGTGATGATGAAACTGGCACAGAAACCAGTCTGAACTGGTTTTAGTCATTAACATTAGACACCCACAGAAGTCAACACTTCTGTCTGAGGACTTTTTGACTGATGAAGGTGCAGCTAATGCTAAAAGAAAGAAGAAGAAAAGAAAAAAAAAAGTCTGTTGTTTCCACTGACACCCGAAACTGTCAAGCACGTGTTTGGTACAAAGGTCAGAGAGGTTTTGAACCTTGACCCTCCACTATCTCCTTCAGAAATGTTTTGATTATCACGGGCTCATATCTGTGTTTTATGTCTCGTTCTATTATCACAGCCATAAAGACAGAGACAAACGTGTCTTTATTCTCCTCCTCTGGTCTCCATCACCGTTAGTGCAAATTTGTGAACATTCCTCTGAATCCTCTTCACTTCCTGACCCTCTGGTTCTCGTCCGTGGCAGGGTTTTCTCCTCGGAACATCTCCTGGTTCTCCGTCAGCGTGGTGCGAACCCTCTTCTGCTCCTTGTATCGTCCGGAGTGTGAGACCTTGACGTGGCGTCCCTTCGTCCCTGTTGTTTTATCTACGATCCTCTCCAGGCGGGCCTCCAGCTGCGAGTCGACTTCAGCGCCCCCTGCGGACCCGTGCTGACCGCTGGTGCTGTTGGAGACAGACTCTGCAGGGATCTCATGGAGAACCTTGGGCTGGGATTTAGGTTTCCTCATAAATGAGAACTTCCACCAGCTGGAGGAAAGATCTGTCATGATGGATGGACGGACGGACGGATGGACGGACGGATGGACGGATGGACAATGGATGTCCTGAGAAGAAAAAAAGAAAAGGTATGAGTAAAATAAAGGTTGTATAGACATTTATACACATCCATATGTACATTTATATTATTATTATATGTATATATGTACATACAGTATATGAATATATATAGTTATATAATTATATATATTCTTCTTATTTCTGTTTTTCTGACTGCTCCCTCAGTAAATGTACCAGATTATTCAGTCAGTTTAACTGATGGAGCAGATCATTAACAGTCAAAGGAAAAGTCTAAACACCTGACCTGCAGAAAATATCACATGAACCAGGAGTGAAACACATTTTAGATCCAACATTTGTAAGTACAGCTATAGCCATAATTGGAAATAAAATTTTACTACGAAGCAGGGAGAATGTGAAGAATCCAGGAGGTAGAAACTGACATGTTTTCATATAAACATCATCCTGATGGTTCTGTCAGAATAAACTGTCCAGATACTGTATTTCACAATGTTCTACAAAGTCCTGGATTAGAAAAAGGAACCAGAACTGTGAAAAAAATAATTCATTTAAAAATATGTTCAGGTTGTAATTTGCCATTTCACCACTAGAGGGCAGCATTTTATAACTAACCTTCCATTTTTTATAGCCGTGAAACTGTGATAACAACCAGAAACCAGATCTGCAAATAGAAACTGGACTTTTTCAGAGCAGTCAACGTTAACTCTGAGTGTGTGTGTGTGTGTGTGTGTGTTTCATGTTCTTGTTTATATTTAAGGCCTGTGTTCATTTCCAATTCTTTTCCTTAAGTAATATTTATAAAGACAGTTGCAGATATAATACCGCAGTGGCCTGTAGGGGGCCAGAGACTCACCTGTTCTTCGTTGTCGTTTCTTCACCCGTGTTTTTTAGGTTTTAACTCCAGTTCTTCAGAGTTCAGCTGCGCGGCCTCCAGACGACGGTGTCAAAGTTCAGTCTCCTCCACCGTCCACAGATCGACGTCGACTGTCCGTCTCCGCCTGCAGGTGCTGAGCTACAGGTGCAGCAGAGCTGTGGCCCCGCCCACCACACACACACACACACACACCCAGTCCCACAGTATAAACTCCACTGTGATTGTGTTCCCGTCATGGTCTCCACCTCACCTTCTTATCTTGAACCAACCTTCACTTCTGACTCCACCCTGGTCGTAGCTTCAGTCGTAGCTTCAGTGAAAGACCAGGTCTGAGGCCGAGGTTTGAGGCCGAGGTCTGAGGCCGAGGTCTGAGGTCGAGGTCTGAGGTCTGTCCACGTTTTTTATTTAAAATATTCACAGTAAAAACACTCGTTCGTCGACCTCTGACCTGATGTATGACATCAAGTGTCTGTGAATGAGTGACAGTGGCGTTGAAGAAACTGCTCTCTGTACAGGATAGTTCCATATTTGGGAGGAGGAGGAGGAGGAGGAGGGGGGAGAGCAGGAAGCAGAACAGGAGTTAATCAGTAACTGATTTATGATCCTCTGAACATGTGACATTTTTATTTGATGTGAGTTTTATGTTGCTCCACTCAGACCTTTGCCTGTGAGCCGTCACCCCCCCACTCACCCCTCCACTCCCCCCCCCCCCCCCCCCTCCCCTCCCCCCCCCCACACACACACGTGAGCTGTGTGGCTCAGGAATAACCCTTTCCCTTCAGATTTCTATCAAACTATGGCCCAAAACGTTGTTGGTTTTTTAAATTAATTAGTCTTTCTTGGTAATTTCAAATTAACAAATTAATTTTGATAATTAAAATAATTCACATAAATCACAGTGTATTCGTCGGTGACAGTGAATACAGTTTATCTTTTAAACTGCATGTCTGCCAGATGTAATGCACAAATGATCCACAGGAGGGCAGCAATAGGCACCAGATTGAACACAACAGTTTCTTGTTTCGGTTTATTGGTTTGGAATTATTAAACCTGTATTTTGTGTCGTGTGTAAATAATTATGTCCAAGTCTGAAGTTAACACAGAAATTTAAACATTTATTTGTTTATTTTTTTCTTCTTCTTTCTTTCAGACATTCAGTCTGGACGTGTGGATGAACATGGAACTGCAGGAAGGAGTGAGTAAAAGAATTAATGTCTGACCAAAAGCCATAAAACAATAATAAAAAAAAACCAAACTCATCTACCTTTGAAAAATAAAATATTGTAATTAAATGAATATTTTTTTAAATAAATTAAATTAACTTGAAGTCCAAAAACGGGGATAAAAGAAAATAAAAAATATGAGACAAAATAAAATGTTGATAAAAATCTGATGATTTTTGTATTTATCATCAGTTAAAAGAAGAGGCCATCGTCTCCCCTCGTCTCCGCCGTGTGGTCTAATTGTGTCATTGCACTTTCATGACTTTATTAAATAGAAATCAACATA